TGATCACTTCTGACCTTGGCCTCATACCCTCCAGTGGGCTGAAAGTAATATACAAAGTAATACAAGATTACAATACCAATACAATTACACTTTATGCCCCTTCCAGGTTCCCTGTTAACATTTTGCAACATTTACTTCAGTTACTGGTAGCACAGTTGTTCTTTTCTCTTCACTCCCTTTCCCTCCCCACCCCCTTTTTTGGGAGCACATTTCGGCTCCATGATCAGGGATCACTCCTGCTCGGGGTTTGGGGGACCATGCTGGGAGCTGGCAACTGGACCTGGGTTGACTGAATGCCTTCTGTGCTGTACTATCTCAGGCGCCAGTAATCTTAAATTTTAAAACAGTCCACATGGGGCCAGAGTGATAGTGCAGTGGGTAGGGCATTTGCCTTGCATGCGGCTGACCCAGGTTCGATCCCCAGCATCCCATGTGGTCCCCTGAACACTGCCAGGAGTAATTCCTGAGTGCAGAACAAGGAGTAACCCCTGACATTGCTGGGTGTGATCCATAAGGCGAGAGAGAGGGAGAGAGAGAGAGAGAGAGAGAGAGAGAGAGAGAGAGAGAGAGAGAGAGAGAGTAAGACAGCTCCCAAGGCTGGAGAGAATTGGTATGGCCCCAAAATCAAGGGAAAAAAGAAAACAGCTCTGGGCTGGAGCAATAGCGCTGTGGGTAGGGCATTTGTCTTGCACGTGTGGCTAACCCGGGTTCAATTCCCAGCATCCCATACAGTCCCCCGAGCACTGCTAGGAGTGCAGAGCCAGGAAGAACCCCTGAGCATCGCTGGATGTGACCCAAAAAGAAAAAAGAAAACAGCTCTGCTACTTTACGTTGATGATATTGTGGGTGCTATTTAAAGAATCCAGAGCTATTATTATTTTTTTTAACAATTATAAATTGCTCGAGCGGGCCCAGTAACGTCTCCATTGGAGACTTTGTTGTTACTGTGTCTGGCATATCGAATACTCTTGGTAGCTTGCCGGGCTCTCCGAGAGGGGCAGAGGAATCGAACTCGGGTCGGCCATGTTGGCCGCTTGTAAGGCGAACGCCCTACCCGCTGTGCTATCGCTCCAGCCCACTAATTTACAGCAATACATTATTGTTTTTGTTCTTAAAATTCATTAATTTGGGGGGAGGTCATACCTGGTGATGTTCAGGAATTATTCCTGGCGGTACTTGGAGTACCATGTGGGATGCTAGGGATCAAACCCAGGTTGGCCATATGCAAGTCAACCATCCTATCCACTGTATTAACTATCCAGCCTCTATTCTTAAAATTTAGGTATGAATAATTAATACAAACTTGTAAACATAAATGTATATGCATTATTATAACTTTTATTTATAACATAAGCATTATTTTTGTTTGGGCCACACCCAGCAATGCTCTGGGGCTATCCTAGTTCTGTGCTCAGAGATCTCCACTGGCTGGGCTTTGGGAACCACACGGAGTTTCAAGAATCTGAACGTGGCTCACAGCGACAGCCACTTGGAGCCAGGGGATTTTCTTACCTCCCTCTCTCTCCAGTTCCTGAGCCATTGTTCTGTGACAGGTCCTGCCCTCTGATTTCGTTTTCAGGATGTGAGTTCATAAGCTCATTCTTGACATTACGGCAGCTGGCGTGTCCCCTGGAGCACCCTTCCAGCAGCTGCTGGTCTCTTTCTGAGTGACTCCATTTTCCGATTTGGGTTTTGATTTTTGAGCAGGCAAGCTGCGCTCAGGACTTTCCCTGGCTCTGGGATCACGCCTGGCAGGGCTCAGAGGACCATATTCGGTGCTACTATAGAATACTCAGGTCCTTGTCCTTAGGAGGTCCAGTTTGAAAGCAGAGACTGGGGACAGGATGGGCAAATTTAGTAGAAATGTTGAGGAAAGGAAGGGCAGGGCAGGAAGCTGGTGCATGGAGTGTCGTTAAGTAGGAGTCTGGGAATGGTGGAAAACCATTTTACATTTTTACTAGAAAGATGGGCAAGCTCTGCATTAGGCTTAAGACATGCACGGTGGCGGCCTGGAGTGATAGGACTTCAGGGAAAGCATTTGCTTTGCACATGGCCTAACTGGGTTTGATCCCTGGTGCCCCATATATTCTCCAGAGCCCTGCCAGGAGTGATGCTGAGCACAGAGCCAAGAGGAAGTCTTGAGCACTGTAGGATGTGTACCCCAACATCCCTCAAAAGAAACGCAAGATGTATTTTTGCCTGTTTACTTTTTTGTTTGTTTGTTTGCTTTGCTCAGATTTTCCTCCTGGATCTCTGCTTAAGAACCACTCCGGCAGGCTCAGGTGTCTAGGTCAGGAGAAACTGGGTCAGCTTGAATGAAAGGCAAATGCCCTACCCATTGGATTATCTCTCAGGTCCCAAGACATGCAACAAGGGAGGATAAAGAGGCTAGGATGTCTGAGAAGATTTTATTTTGTAAATCCTAGGTGAATAGAGTGGGCCCATCCTGGGTCCATATTCAAGAATATTGTCATTTTTATCTCCAGAGCTACTCTTTCTAATCCTACTATGCCTATATTTCTCTGTTATTCCAACGTAACTGCTCTATCAGCACCAGAAAAGGAAACTGGGTATGCTATATACAAGCAATTTATGATATGGCTCAGTGGTAGAGAGGGGAAAATGGGGAGGAAGTAGGAGGAGAAGGAGGAGGAAGTTTCTTTAAGTGGACCCAAGCTATTGGTTAGTATAGGCCCTCTTCACACACGTCCACAGAGTCAGGAAGAGACTGTGTTGGAGAGGCTAGAATGAGATTGAGGTTTTGAGTCAATTTGGCTAGTAATTAGTTGTAGGTTCTCAGAAAAAATCTTTTAAAAATAGGTTTTTTGTTTTGTTTTTGGGCCACACCTGGTAATGCTCAAGAGGTTACTTCTGGTTCTGAATTCAGGAATCATTTCTGTGAATGCTAGGGGAACCATATAGTATATACACCGGGGATGGAACCCCGGTCAGCTGCATCCAAGGCAAGAGCCCTGCCACCGTCCTATTGTTCTGTTCCCTGTCACTATCCTCCCGTTGTTCCTCGATTTGCTTGAGCAGGCCCAGTAACATTGTGAGACTTCTCGTTACTGTGCTTGGCATATCGAATACTTCACGGGTAGCTTGCCAGGCTTTGCAGTGCAGGCGAGATACTCTCGGTAGCTTGCTGGGCTCCCCGAGAGGGGCGGAGGAATCGAACTTGGGTCGGTCATATTGGCTGCGTGCAAGGCAAACGTCCTACCTGCTGTGCTATTGCTCCAGCCCATTCTGTTCCCTAAAGATCTTTATTTTATTTTATTTTTGGTTTTTGGGCTACATTCAGAGATGCTTAGGAACCACTTCATGCAGTGGTTGGGACATTGTATGCGATGTGGGGAACTGAACCCCGGTCAGAGGCATGCAAGGCAAGCACCCTACCTGCTGCGTTAACTCCTTAATTTACTTTAAACCATTGATTTAGGGGTGAAAACAATATGACACTGGAGAGGGTACCTGCCTTGCATACGGCTGGCTTAGCTACACTGTCCCTGGAACTACATATGGTCTTGAGTCCCCCAAAAGTGATCCCTGAACACAGAACACAAGAACTGTCCTGTGCACGGTAGGGAGTATCTCCCAAACTGGGGGGGGGGGGAACCTAATTATTTCTAAGCATTCTTTTAGTTTTGAATTCTATGTTTGTGAACTACATTTTGATAGAGACAGTGACATATGGAATCAGGAGAGTTGGGTTTCAGCCCTGGTCACACAGGAGGGCAGTGAAGAAACCTCTTCATCTTTTCAAACCGCATGGTTTTAACCCACACCCTTCAGAACGACTGCAGTTTTTCTGCCGTTCAAAGTGCATCAATTGTAATTGGTAAAGAGCTAGGCGTTGTTTTACAATGTTCCCCTTCCCAGCCTTTTGATCTAACAGTGACTGGGAAGAGGGGCTGCAAGAACGTATCTATCCACGAAATTTGCTCCCTCATACATCAGTTTCCTGGTATTGCGCCACCGAGGCTCACCTAATGAGAAGCGGGTGCCAGGGGCGGAGCAGCGAGTTGGGGGGAAAATCAGAGCCTGCCAGGGCGGTGTGCACGCTCGCGGCGACAGCTGGGGTGCGGCGACAGCTAGGGTGCGAGGCGACACACAGCCCCCCTCCCCTTCCTATCCACATAGACTGGTTTGGGGTTACTCCATGGATTATTCCTGGCGGTGCTGGGGACGGGTGCGGATGAGGGGGACGACGGCACCTCTCACAGTGCTGGGGAGTGAACCTGGACCTGGCACTAATGTGCATGCAAGGCGCAGCGCTACCGCTCAGGCCCTGAAAAAAAAAAAAACTGTGTGTGTGTGTGTGTTGGGGGGGGAGAGTGTGGACACATACCTATGCATACATATATGGTTTTTAAGGGGTAACACGGAGCGCGGGCTCGGGGCTCCGGGACGATTCGGGGCGGGGTTAGGGGGGCCCCAATGAGGTGCTGGGGGTGGAACCCGGCTCGCCGCACGCAGGACCAGCGCCCTGCCCGCCGAGCTCCCGGGCCCGCCGCGGAGCGCCCCTGGCCACTCGCACCTCCAGGGACTCGCACCCCCGTCCCCGGCGCACCCGCGGCCGCCGCGTCCCCCCAGGGCTCGGCGCGTGCGCGCGCGCACTTGACCTGCGGCCGGGTCGGGCACGCGCCGACCTCCCGCGGGGGCGGCCCGGCGCCCGGCGGCAGCCGCTCGCGGCCCCCCCACCCAAGTCGGGGAGAGGTGGGTGAGAGGCGCGCGGGGCCGACCGCCCCGCCCCCCGCGGCCCGGGGACAGCGAGGCCGGGGCCGCGGCCACTTCCGCCCGGCGCGCCGGCACCGCCCCCCCGCGCGCGCGAGTGCGCAGGCGCTGCCGCATCCGGGTTCCGGCCGGCCCGCAGGTGGCGCCGGCGGCGGCGGCGGCGGGGGGCGGGCCGGGCTCATTGTGCGCAGCGAGAGGCCCGCGGCCGGCCCGGCCTGCTCGCGCCGCCTCCCGCCGCCTCCCGCCGCCGCCGCGCGCTCGCCAAGATGGCCGCCGCCGCGGGCGCTGTGGCCGGCGCGGCCGGCGCGGGCCCGGCCGAGGCGCGGAAGCTGAGCGACCTGCGGGTCATCGACCTCAAGTCGGAGCTGAAGCGCCGCAACCTGGACGTCACCGGCGTCAAGACCGTGCTGCTGTCCCGCCTCAAGCAGGTGAGGCCGCGCCGGCCGGGCCTGGGAGCCGGGGGACGCGCGTCCGCCCGGGGCCCGCGCCCCGCGCCCTGCCGCGCCCGCCCGGCCTGCCCCGCAGCGCCCGCCCGCCCGCCCGCCCGGCCCTTCCCGGCGCCCCGCAGCGCCCGCCGGGGCCCGCCCGCCCGGCCTCCCCGGCCTCCCCCGGCCTCCCCCGGCGCCCGCCCGGCCTCCGCCCGGCCTCCCCCGGCGCCCGCGCGCCGCGCCCCGCCGCGCAGGGACCGGTTGCTCGGGCGACCGGGCCGCGTTACCGTTCCCCGGGCCCAACGGTCTCCGCCGGCCTCGGGCGCGGGCGGCGGGCGAGGCCGCGCTGCTCCCCGCCGGCGCTGCCGCAGCTCGCAGCGTTTTTCGCCCCCGCCCCGGCCGAGGTGTCCCGGGCCGGGGCGTGCGTGGCCGTTGCTCTCGGAGGGGCGATTAAGTTTCTCTTCCCGAAATCCGCGAAGGATACTTGGCCTTCATCCCTTCCGCATCCCGCAACTTTTCCGCAACCCTGAAGGTTGAGGGTTTTTTTGGTTTTTTTTTTTTTTTTGGGTTCAGTTTATCATCCCGTGGGATGATGATGTGTCGGGCACGACTGGGTCCAATTTAAAGGCCCACCTGGTGGTTTGGAGAGGAGTGCTGTCTTCGCCCCCTCCCCAGTTTCTTCCGCTGGGTGTAGTGTAACTGCCTTTTTTTTTTTTTCCCCCAAATCTCCCTTTTTTTGAAGTTGGTTTAGGAAATGACTGGCGATTCTAACGTCTTGAGGCTTGAGGTTTGCTAGATTTATTTTTCCATTTCATCTTAATAACATAAGCCTAGAGAGATCCTGTAGCGTATTAACTTCTCTTTCTAATGTAGGCGATTGAAGAGGAAGGAGGCGATCCAGATAATGTTGAATTAACTGTTTCAACTGATACTCCAAACAAGAAACCAACCAAAGGCAAAGGTTATTACCAGTTATGAACATATTTTAACACCTATTTCGGTTATATAACTTGCCTCTGCTCTTGTGCCACTTGCCCTGTTTATTTTGTGCTACACTTTGCTGTTTCCCTCTGGCACTCTGCCCTCTTGGGTCAAGGAAGAAAAGTTAACGATGCCAGCCAGACTCATGGTGACTCGTAGCCCTTACGATTTGGCTAACGCTGTCCTGAAAGAGAGACCCGTTCCTTATTGCTCCCCAAAAAATAATTGCAAGTTTCATAATGTTTCTTCCTCTGCACCTGGAGACGTGAAGAATAAAAAACACTTTAATGTAAGTCTACCTTGCCCCATAATTGGCAGAGTATGGTGGAATTCCTACCGAATCTTTCACCTTGGTTCCCTGCTATTTTCTCTAGCATATTAACATTCTTTCTGTTTAGTGTTTGTTTGACGTGGTGAACTTAATTCGTTCTTATCACACATTCTAATTTTCAGTAAAATTCAAAAGATACTTCAGTCATATTAGCAAAGTTAAAAAAAACTCAAAAAGTTGAAGGCTTGTGTTTCAGATTTTTTTGTTTTTTAATTACATTTTTACTTGACCAGAATTTATTTCCAGGATAGGATAATTTTAGTGAGTAGCTGCAAATGGTTTTAAGTGAACATTTTGTCCATCTGGGGCTTAGGTTTGGGTGTTTCAAAATAATTTTGTTAAGGGATTCTTAATTTGAATAATATCAAATTTCTCACCTCACCCCATTCCCCTTTGCCAAGGAAAGTGGCAGAGGGTGGACATAAGCTGTCTGGACCCAATTCCTGCAATTGCAATATGAGTGTACTCGTTAGGGGCAGCCTTTTTTGCCACTTGTCGGTAAACCATATTGATTCCAGCGAGAGTAAACAAGTGAATGGACTAACTCAGAAAGGAGGAGAATATTGTGTTTTTGGTCTTCAGTGCTTTCTGATCCCAGGGCCAGGGAAGGCTTGATACCAGCTCCCTGTGTCTTCCTGTGCTTGTAGTTGGATATCCCAGCTGGTGCCAAAGGAAATTGAAAAGCACTTTTAGAAACTGCCTGAGTGAGGTGGGAAAGGCAGAGGAGGAAAGGTGTAACAAAGTTATCTAGGAGGTTTGGAACTTTTTAAAGGATACTGATACAGTATATGATTTTGAGAGATACATTTCCTAGTTTTTTTCCAAGAAGCTTGCATGGCCATGCTGCTGCTGTGTTTCAGAATTGGGGAAGCCTAACAATTGAGAAATCAGGATGCCAGGGATGACTGCTGTTTCCTAAGAGCAGTATTGATTCGTGTCACTGATTTGCACATTGTGATAGTTTGATTTCAGGTAGTTAGTCATGATGTGAAATATTACAGTTGGCTATTGGTTTTAGCACCTAAAAGTAACCTCGTTTAATCTATTCAGTCTCACCTACTTTCCCTGCATTTCATAGGAACTTCTTTTATCTTACTGTTGGAGAAAATTTCAACAATAGGAAAAATTTTAAGATATTGAGGTTTTCAGTATATTTACTACATCAGTATCTTGACTTTTTAATGTATAAGGATACTTGAATTTTTTTTTATCACTCTGATGTTAACGATACCTTGTGGACTTTAGAAGTTTCAAATGTATCATCGTTTCTGTGACTGGCTCCTACCGAGTACTTAATGAGACTATTTTTGTCAAACCGTGACATACATGATAAATAGTGCGTTTTCTTGAACTCCACTAGTCATTTGTTCACAAATCTTATGATTTACAAAGAATACAATGTAGACCTCCCCCCCCAAGAACTTACTTTGAATTAGTTTTCAAAACAGATACTTATAGATGACACTAAGGTTTAAATTAATAAAACATATTCATGATTTTTAGAAATCAAGGTAGGATAAAGGAAGCTTATAGAATAGCTTAGGGGGAGGCTGGATTTAGGTCACACCTGTGGTGGTGTGGCTCTTTGTTCAGGGAACCCTTGGATCTATGTGGTTCTGGGGAGCAAAGCTTGTACTCTAGTCCCTCAACAGATATTTTAAACTAAATATTTCGCCCCTCTCGGAGAGCCTGGCAAGCTACCGAGAGTATTTGATATGCCAGACACAGTAACAACAAAGTCTCCAATGGAGATGTTACTGGGCCCGCTCAAGCAAATCGATGATCAACGGGAGGGCCTTACTTACTTAACTGTTTATTAAAAACAAAATCTTGTTTAATGCAGTGTCAGGGTTTTTTTTTTTTAGTTGCTAAATTAAGAGCTCAAAAATTAAAAGACGCAAAAAGTAATTTTGTTTTTGCCAAATTTTATTTCACTTAGAATTAGCTAAGTGAAATCATTAAAGTGATTGCATCTTGGTCCTGCCACTTTTTTTTCATTTTGTTCCTTTTCCTTTTTTGTAAAATTGGAAATTTTATTCGATCATTTATAAGGCTCTCGTAGTTCTGAAGTTTTATCATTGTGTATTGCCAGGAGTCAGAAGAAAGTGCTTTCTATTTAATTAAAGTAGATAAATAAGAACAGGGAAACCCATAAGACCTCAGTCAGTGTAGAGAGTCTTTGATATAAATTATTAGGAAGGGAGAAGGACAAAGACAGGGCTTAGATGCTGTCATGTTGATTCAGGCATTACATAAGTAAAATAACTTGTCAGGAAAGTAAATGATTCTCACAGTAAGCTAGCAAATATGATTTAAATGATAAGAAAATGAGGAGCTTAAACTATTAAGCTTATTCTTTCACAAATGTAGGATCACTAGGTCTGTATTTTATGTATACAGATGGGGGGAGCTAGTGAATAGGGAGAAGGATTTGGTCTACACCTGGGGGTGCCATGTGGCTGCACCCTGCTCTGTGTTTGGGTCACTCCCTTTGGTGGTCTGGGGTCTGCCACAGGCAAGTGGCCTAACCCCAGTATTATCTCTTTGGCCTTAGATCATTTCTTAGATGCAGTTATTGCAAATTCAGATGTGTCAAAAATGTTGCTAATGTCTTGATGCTCATAACCACTATATTTATGAAATCTGTTTGCATATTGTTATAATATGGTAGAACTGTAACAGTTAGATGGACTCTCCATTTTTAAGTATTTTTACATTGTCTATGATGAGCTTTTAAATATCCTAGAAGAAAGCTTTCCCAGTGGTATTTACTGTCATTTGGGTGTGTGCTCAGAAAGTGGTTAAACTGGTAGAGCTAACTCATTAGTTTGTTTAGAGATTATGGCTTTAAAGTTTCTTTTTGGCTCACCCAACAATGACAGATCATATTCTTTTTAATTATCAGGCTTTCGTGTCACCTCTAAAACTTAAGTAAAGATTACTTATGTGGCTGTTTGGTACAGTATTTACAGTTCCATGTAATGTGCCTCTTAACTTGATGTTGACATCTGAAATACACGCATAAAATTAAACTTCAATATAAAATTTTTTTTCTATAAAAACAAGTATAATTTTATTTTGTATGTTTGCCAAACATCTAATATCTGAATTTTTGTGAAAAACATTACAAGCAGTATAAATCTTCACTGTACAAAGGTTTCTACAGTTTGTGTGAGGGCTGCAGGGGTAGTTCAGTGGGCAGCATGCATTTCTTGTCTGCCGTGGCCTGGATCTGCTCTGAGCAGGCCCCTCGCCCAGAACTGAGTGGCCTGTTAGCATCGCTGGGCGTGGCCCCCAAACCAAAACAAAGAGAAAAACAAAACAATTGTGAAATTAGAGTGTAGAAATCAACTATATAATGTAGGTGTACATTCCAAAATACTATATTATACAGTTTTTTTTTTCTTAATTTTGGGTTATACTTGGCGGTGCTTAGGGCTTAGTCCTTGCTCTTTGCTCAGAAATTCCTCTGGCAGTGCTTGGGATACCATATGGGGTTCCAGGGATCGAACCCAGATTCGCATGTTGCAAGGCAAACATTCTACCCACTGTACTATGGCTCTGGTCCCCGTAATATTTCTAACTAGAAATATTACATTTTAATGTAATATTTAATTGCATTTAAATATTATATTTGTTCAGATGTATTTGGTAGGTTGAGGAAACTTTGCTTTTAGGTGTTGGGCCATACCTGGTGGTGCTTCAGGCTTAATTCCTGGCTCTCTGCTTAGGGTTTGGTCCTGGCAGTGCTCAGGGTCAAACCCAGGCCTCCTCCCATACAAAGTATCTCTCTGCTTCACCAAACTTTAATCAGAACCATGGCCATTAGGAAGGTCTCCAGGGTAGAATTATTATGTCTACTTCTTAGATAAGCCAGGAGGCATGAGGTAAGGGTGGAGTCTTTTATACGTAGTTTAGCAGAGTTCACATTTATTATGTACTTAGTGCCAACTAAAGGCTCTTTTTAATTGCTTTTAAAAGTATCTTTTGGTGCTTTTTTTGTTTTGACTTTGGCAGTCCTGGCAGCTCCCAGCTCTGTTTTTGAGTGTCCGTGCAGTGGAACACCGGTCTCCTCATGCAGAGTGTGTGCTCTAGCTTATTGAGCTGTTTCCCTGGCCCCTGGTGCTTATTTTAATTCTTTGTAGAAAGTACATATTGTTAGAGATGAACTGTTACTGTTTTCCAAGAAATAAACAAGTCTTTTTTTTAAATTATTTTCCCCAAAATATCACTAATAGCACTGATGGCTTCTCCTTACCCGTGGATAAGCAGAAAAATTGCTTTTAGAACAAATATTGCATTAGCCTTTTATTCTTCACTGAATAGATGCTGGGCTTGACTCATGCCTGTAGCTCTCCAGCCTCAGAGGTTTTATCTGTCATTTTCATTTCACAAATCCAACCCTTTCACAATATAGCCATTAAAGTCTTTATCTTGTGCAATTCTCTACTGTTTTACTGTTATCAAATATTCTGAATGGGTCAGAAATGCTGACGGGGAGAGGTAAATTTTTCTAGAACTTTAAGACAGTGTTCTTCTCCCAAGGTAAGTTCTCTTTATGCTGTTCAGAGTAGAGGCAGAGGAATTCAGGCTTTAGAATCAACTCACTAAGTATAAGACTTGTCTAGGGATTAGAGAAATGATATTGT